CCTTGGAAAGGCTTTTCTGTTTCATTTAACCAATTTCACCTTTTTGTCCTGCCTCGGCAAGATTACAGTCAAAAAAATAATTGAGATTATTGGACTGGGGAAAAAGGAAGTAAAAAAATCTGTAATAGTTGCTTATTAGAATTCTATTACAATAAGCCCCTTTACTGAAGCACGCCAACAAATAAGGACTTATATTTACCATGGTCTAATCTCCAATTAGTTTTCCTATTATAAAATGTAGTTATAGTGATTAAACAAAACCTATAAAATTATATTACGTTTAAAAAAAACATCAACTAACTATATCAATAACCGCAACAGTCTAATTAACATTGAGCAACTAAATATGGAAATTGATAATGCTTTCTGATTCGGTTTAGGAGCAGGATCAGTTGGACTATTGGTTGTTCTTTATTTAATGAGGGATAAGTCAGAAAAAAAAGCAAATGAACTACTCCTATTGTTGAAGTAGGGGTTGCTAATGCTTAGTATCACCTTACTAAAAAAATTATAGATATAGCGAAAGTAATTGGTTTAGTAAGTTTAGAATACAAAATTAATTATATAATAGAATAAATTTATCCTTTAATAATACCTTATGTATAAAGAAAATATCTTGTTACTACGAAGGCATTGAAGAGATAAGAAATATGTATCTTTGATATAAATAACTTTAAAATAGTCGTATGGATTGAAAAAGCCTTTTTTTGGCTAACTGAAAAATAATCTCGGGAATAATAGTTTTCTTACTCTTTTTATTTTTTATTTTTTTAGTTTGAGAAAAAGAAGAAGTTAAGGAAAAAAAGAGGGATAAAGGTTTTTTAATTTGCCCCATCCGCGGTATTTTACGAGCCAGAAAATATGATACCAAAGGTAATTATACGGAGGAATATCAAAGAATTAGATTAATTAGATATCTGTTAGAAAAAAAAGGATATGACAAAAGTCAATTTATTATTGAATACTCAATACCAATCGGGCATAAAGGACATAATACTCTCCGAGTTGATTTGGTAATCAAAAGACAAAATAAATTTATCTGTGTGGCGGAGGTGAAAAAAGGCTACACCCAAGAAAATATGAAGTCAGCTATTCGCCACCAATTAATACCGGCTATGCGAATAGTTAATGCCAAGCATGGTGTTTATTTTGACGGCACCAAAAAAAGTCGTTTATTAACGAGAAATATCGATGGAACTCTTTCGATACGTGAATTTCCTTAATTTTCCTTACGGGAAGATTTTTTTCTGGCTAGGATCAAGGCAGGAATGACTAAAACATTAAAATCATATATCATATTGTCTGATAATGTAATGATTTATTGAATATTATTAGTTCCTTACCTTTATTTTCCTCTTGCTTTATTTTTACCCAAAAAGTTTAGAAAGGGGTTTTTTTCTTCTTTGCTTTTTTATCACTTCTTATTTTTCTTTTTTTCTTGTTAATGTTCTTTCTTTATTGAAAGCAGTTTATAACTGACCATTCTGGATTTACCACATTAGTTTTTGGAGTTATAACATTTTTCAAATTAAATTTCCGCTTTTTCCCATTTAGCAAATTACTTAGTAATTATGAATTGTTGAGAAAACGGACAGGAATTATGAAAAAAGTAATAATGCCCCAGTCTCGTTTTTTACTACCTTACTTTTTTTGTGATCTTCCTCATTTTTTACTACAATATTTTAGTAAAATTAGCAAAACAATTCCCCCAATAACTCCCACTACTAAACCTTGGTAAAGATTATTATTGTTTCTGCTATTAAGAGAAGAATTATTATTAGTTTGTAATTCCGAAAGGGAAAGGGATTTATTAGGGAGATTTTGAATAAGTTGGTGATATTTTTTTTGTTCGGCGTCTTCGCTTTCTACCGTTTCCTTAGTCTGGTTATTATATTCAATTACTAATTTGCCATTTTCTAAACTAATTTTTTTGATACCATTTTTGGTTAAATATTGACGGAGTTGGGATTTTTCAATATCGCTAATTTGGTTATTTTTACTTTCTTTTGGTTCCGGTATTCTGCCACAGCAATGAAGCAGATTTTCGTCAGTCCGAGTTCATTTTTTATCTGGCGAGCATGTTCGACCTTCAAAATGACAACAGAGTTTAACACCACAAATATCACAATTTTTATCACAAGCCGCATAATAATCCGGTCGATTTTTTTCCATGTCGTTCAGCAATTCATTGATTTCAGCAACGTGACCCCAAGCCAAAACAATTTGTTCGTTGGCTTCGTGGTCTCAATATTCTTTTTGTTGCGTCTTTTCTTTTCAATAGTTCGCTTTACTGATCATTCGGTCTCGCAACTCTTCCAAGTATTTACGACATAATCCTTGGCGGTGTGGTCAGTTTCTATTTCATTCCTCCTCTAATCCTCCTGTGCTGGAATAATATTCGTGAGTTTCGGCTGGCGTTCTCGGTCGGCCAATAGTGAAAAGTTCTCAATGGTCCTCCAATGATTTAAGTGGAGTATCGTCCAGATCCCTTTTACAATTTTCAAACTCTCCTTTGGTAATCCCGATTTTAATTTCTCGCCCACCACTATTATTTTTTTCACCAACATAAAGATACATATTGCCATCTTGACCGTCAATTATTTCCACTCAACCGGAAAAATTAGGATTAGCGGATTGATAGATTTTGGTTTCATTGTCGCAGACATATTTGTGTAATATTTTCTTTAAATGTCAAGAGTTTTCGGCCACCAAATAACGATATAAATTATGCTCATTCCGATACTCCTCTCCTACTTCTTTATATTAATTTGTAAGTAGCGGTGTCTAATTTTCCTTGCACATATTTCTTGTTCTTGCTTCCATCCTCGTTTAAGCCATTTACAAAAAGAGCTGACTTTGCTTCCGGAAAAAGTTGGTGTAATCCCGGTCGAGCATTAAGTTCATCGTGTATTCCATCTTTACTTAAATTATACTTGTTTGAAAAAATATCTACGGTTCGTTCGCTATTACTAATAATAATTCCTCAACCCAGTTTTTTCTTGCCTCTCTCGGTTCCAGTTGGAAGCTGTGTATATTTTTCCCGCAACTTTCATTCCCCACCCGAATTTTTTCACTTTTTGGCTTCGGCAACTAATGCCTGCCCGTTATTGACTTTGATTTTTTGAGTTTCTATTTTTTTATTCATGGTCTTTTTATTTGTTATATTA